AGGAACCTACACAAGAGATCTAGCTTTTAGGAATCAAATGTCAAAATGGACACTGTCAGATCCCAATGGTTGTTATTAAAATAACAGTAATGTCTCCACCAACTAACACAAGAAAGACAGAAGATTTTTTAGGTCTTGTGAGATTTTGGAGAATGAACATTCCAACTTGCAGTCTGACTGTAAGCCCTCTCTATTAAATGACCCAGAAGAAAGAATGATTTCAAATGAGGCCCTGAGCAACAACAAGCCATTGAACAAATCAAGTAGGAAATAGTTCATGCTGTAGCCCTTTGGCCAGTCTGAACAGAGAAAGATGTAAAAAATGTGCTTTTTATTACATCTGGAGAGAATGGACCTACCTGGAGCCTCTGGCAGGAAGCACCAGGGGGGTCTTGAGGCTGACGTCTTTGTTTTTTGAGCTGAGCATACAGAGGATCTGAAGCCCACTATATTCTAACTGAAAAGCTTTTCTTTTTTACTGGCAGCTTTGAAGGTGTCTGAGCTGCTTCAGAGATGATTGGTACTGAAACACAGCTTCTCACACCACAGTTACTTGCCCTGAGTTGGATGCTCAAAGGGAGGGTCTCCTCTACACATCATGCAGCAGATGCTGCATGGAGTAAAGGCATTGCACTGATCACATAAAGAGTTTGGACAGGAAACCCTTGTTATCCAGGAAACTTAGAATTAATCATGGACTGGACACAAGGCAAAGGTTTTTGGAATGTTACCAGGCTTAGGGTGAAGAGGCCCCACTATATAATAAATTCCCAGAACCTGAGAAGCAGTATGCCTTGTTTACTGATGAATCCTTCTGTTCTGTGGGAAAACTGCTGTATGGAGTCCCCTATGACAAATCGCAGAAATTGCTGGAGGAGAACATGAATTGAGTCAATATGCAAAGATAAAAGCTATCTAATTGGCCTTAGACACTGCTGTAGAGAAAAGGCCAATATATTTTTTTTTATTTTATTTTATTTGTAATTATTATTTTTTTTTTTAGCTCTGTACTGATCCATGGGTGATGGCCCTGTGGGAGTGGTGGCACCAATGGAAGCAGAATAACAGGCAGCCTAGAAGTAAACACACCTGGGCTGCAAAGTTGTGGCAAGACATCACTGCCTGGTTTGAAAGGCTATTGGCAAGGGTGAAGGCCAAAGTTGTAGAATGTGTGGATTCAATAAACATTTTCTTTTGTGGATATTTTATGAACATTTGACAATCGTGTTCCACAGACTAGGAGAATGGTGTCTATCTATATTATCTATCAAAACAGATAAGCAGGGAAGGTGATGGGATTTGGGAAGCATGAAACTTTTTGTGATACAAAAGGTATGGAATAAGGTGTGGGGAAGTGTTAGCTTTGGCTAGGGTAGAGTTAACCTTCTTCACAGTGGCTGGTATGGGGCTGTGATTTGGATTTGTGCTGAACAAAGGGTTGACAGATGTTGATGAAGATGTTTTTGTTATTGCTGATCAGGGCTTACACACAGCCAAGGCCTTTTTTGCTTTTCATGTAGTCACACTGGCGAGGAGACTGTGTGTGGGAAATGGGGAAGAGACAGCAGGGGTAGGCCCAAACTGGGCCCCAAAGGGATATTCCATACCATATGATATCATGCTCAGTATATAAAGTCAGGGAAAGGAGGAAGGGTGGACGTTTGTGATGGTGTTTGTCTTCTCAAGTCACTGTTTCCTGTGATAGGGGGCCCTGCTACCCTGGAGATGGCTGAACATCTGCCTGCCCATGGAAAGCAGTTAATTCCTTGTTTTGCTCTGATTGTGTGTGTGGCTTTTGCTTTCCCTGTTAAACTGTCTCCATCTTAACCCATGAGTTTTCTAGCTTTCACCCTTCCAGTTCTCTCCCTGATCCCACTGGTGGGGGAGTGAGTGAGTGGCTGCATGGGGCTTGGCTGTCCACTGGGGTTAAACCACGACACCAGGTGTAAAATCCATAGTAATATCACTAGGTGTAAAATACATAATAGTGACACAGAAGTAGTGTTAATTTAATCTGCTCTGGGGTAAATTAAAGGATATGATCTTCTAATGTGCTAAAAAGTATAAAGTTCCGATCCATTCCAGGAAAAACTGTGGAAGTAGGGAAAAAATAAGATAGAAGGAAAACAACATAAGTAAGAAGGACACTGTGAGTCAGCATTACTGACTGAACTGTTCATCAGTCTGGTATTGCTGTAGAAATTGGTTTGTGTTTTGGGAGTAGAAGAGGAAATGTACTTATTCTGAGCCTCTGCATAGAAATGCCAGCAAAGATAGCCAAGTTCCTTCTGAATCAGTATGCTCCTTTCTTCTGACTATTCCGGTATCAAGTTATGAATTTGAGTTGAAATGAACCCTTCTGGTTAAATTCTTCTGCTGCAGGATGTAGGAAGACAGTAGAAAATATATGTGAAGAGTAATGAAACAGAAATAAGGAATTCTCTGGTAGAGAATATGATTCACTTATCAGAAATAACAGTTTGAGAAAACTAGCTTCCCAAGTTCTGTGTCTGAAGTGGCAGAGTAAGTGCATAAGCATGCTTGATGCAGGGAACAGTAAATACATTAACTTAAGGAATACTATTTGCATTGTCTGCAGACTTTGGTCACATACAGGCAGCATCAGGAGAGCTGGTCTGTAATGGAGGGAAAAAACATGATAGCCAGGTGCTGGTGCAATCTGCTGATTTTCCATTTAACTGGGAAAACATAGTTTTGTCATGATGCCAGGTTGCTTAAGGACCCTTGTTTATGGAATCATTTTGCAAATACTGATATGTGCTGTGGTGATGCTCAAGCTGGTGGTGTGATGGGGTTTGGGAGCCTGATGGCAAACTGTACACATCTGCAAGTAAAATGCTATAATGTCCATAGGTGTGTTAAATGAAATAAAGATTAGATTTTCCATCCAGGGAAAGTTCCTGATTCAGCTGTTTCTGATTGCAGGGTAGGAACTGTGCATTTACAACATACAAGTACAGAAAATGTATTTCTGCTCACTAAGATGAGGCTTAGTAAAGCAGTTGAAAACAAAACATTGCCCTTACACCTTGATCCTTGCCTTCGGAAAAGTGCTACAGTGGTGGAGTACTGTAACACTATTTTTCTGCTGTTGCTTCTCACATGGGAAACATACTCTTTTGAGACTGAAAAAATACTTTGAAACTTAAGTGTATAAAACAGCCATCAATTGTTAAATTACCTGCAGTTACCAGTGATCTACTTTCCCTAAGATTGTTTTATGAACTGTGTTTATATATGTATGTCTTCCTTGCCATTCTCTTCCCTCTCTTGACTTCAGATGACTGTTCATATTCTCTATACTGTGTGTGGCAGAACATTGCCTCACATGGGGTTTTTCTGTTCCCATAGTTGAGAGAGTTCTTAGCCCACCAAAAAGTTAGTAACCATGCCTGCTAGGGGGAGAGGACCAAAAGGGCCATTTGTCCTCTATAATTTTGAAGATTCCACCTACCTTAGTATGGACCCTGGCATTTTTATGGGAAGAGACTTGGAACAGGCCACTGCTTCTGCGCTAGTCACAAAATAATTGTAGTGTGCAAGTATGAAAAAATAAAATCTCATTCTTGCTATCTAGTAGATATGGACTTCAGTTACTGGTGTGGTGTTTTTTTATTTTGCCACTAAAGACAACCAGTGACAATTTAGTATTGAAAGGAAGAAATATTTCCCTCCCCCACTCTCATCCCACCCTTTTTTTTACCTTGAAAAACGTTTGAAAGCAACTAACCTATTCTTAGCAGGAAAGGCAGAGCAAATGGAATGAGTAATCTAACTAGGAATGGACCAAGTGAAAGAGTTTCATTAAACACAAATGTGAGAAGAAGATACAGAAGCATGGGAACACAGATGCGGGTAGGGATGATGTTATTAAGGGACTAACTCAGGTCCTTGCTTGTGTACTAGAAAAAGAATCAGCCTTTAAATCTAGCTAAAAAATAGTTATTTGGCATTTTTTTGCTAGCAGATGGTATTCCTGGAATTAGCTAATAAAATTGAGTACTTAAAAAATATTTTGGTCTTTATAAGCAAGCCTTTCTTTTTTAACACTGTTGTTTGGAGGGTAAAAAAGCCCCCCATCATACTTTCACGTCAGCCTCTCTGTTTGTTTGTTTTGTGTGTGTGTTACTGTTATATTTAGAACAGCTGCACTCCTTTGTTGTTCTCTCCTTAAATTCCTCCTTTAGAGTTCTTCTCATCTGGTCAGTACTTAAATATTTATCTCATTGACATGATCTCTTGCTTGCCACTGCTTAACCTTACTTGGAGAAAGCCCATTATCTAGTTTAAACCTGTTGTTTTAAAGCTGTAGAGAGATTATCTTTTCTAGATCCAGCTGTGCACATTGATGGCTGTGTAGCTTCTAGCTGTACATCACTACTGTGATTGTCAGTTTGTCCCCAGTTCCACCCATGGAATGATTTGTGAGTGCTCCTGAGTATTTCAGGCAGAACTGGCCAAAGAATGGGTTTGTTGAGATGTTTTCTGTTTAAGCAAGTACAAGTGTTTTTACTTGAAGTGAATTAGGACGAACAAGAGCTGTTAGCTAGCATATCTACAGGTTTATGACAGGACTGTCTGTAGTATACCTGTTTGCTGAATAAATGTCTATTTACTGATTTTTTTGATGAAAATATTTTCCTGTGACCTCTTTTGAGATTCTGATATGAATATAGAGTTTGGAGCAGCATTTGTACTCATGGGAAAGATTGAGAGCTTGGACACAGTGATAAATTTTGAGAATTTCTCTGGTAAGAATAGGAGGACAAAGCCAAAAACATTGCTTAAATAAGCAGAGGGTACACCTGTGTAACGTAGACAGAGTTGAGCATATGATTTTGTTTTGAAAAGCTACATTTTGAAAGCAAAAAAAAATAAAATCACCACAGAAAGGCCTTCTGTGTTACATAAGGCAATTTTTTCTTTTTAATTTTTTGTTTATATTTGCAGTTTGAGTAAACTAAGAATCTATTTTTTAGGGCATCCAAGATGGATCTCAAGTGTGCTCTGGAAGAATGCTCAATGGCACTGAACTTATTTCTAAATAATAAGTTCTCTGAAGCACTGGAGCTACTTCGTCCATGGTGAGATTGTTATTTCCTGAAATTGTTGTAAACCAACAGTGTCTGGTACCTGAAGATGAATTTAAGTCCTCTGAAGATAGTAGTTTTAATTTATTCTTTTTTGTCCAAAAGCATTTCTCCATATTTGGGTGTTTTTAATTTATTTTTTGGGTCGTTAAAACCATCTCAAAAACCATTGTTGAAGCACTGAAATTGTTATGTTAGAGTTTATCATTCAAGCTGTCTTTCCTCATGCAGCAGGGAAAAGCTGGGGAGCAAGACTTTATTCAATGCATCTTTGATCAAATAATTTGTACAATGAAATGTTTTTGACAATTCAGAAAAGCTGGAACAAAACTCCATAATACTCTTTTTGTTGTGTTTTATATTATGTTTGAGTCTGGTGTTTATCTTTGAGCTCATCTTTTGCTCTTCTGATTAATTTTCTTTGTTCCCCTGTTGCCTTTCCTCCACTGAGAAGAAAAGCGTGACAGTGCAGATGTAGGAAATTAAAGAATATGGAGAGATTCACAGGTGAAACCTGTGTAAAGTGTGACTGTGGGGAGGCAGTCTGGGTGGCTGGTCTTTAGGACTGGAATCTGAATCCCATCCACCATTCTTCTCCTGTCTTTCTCTGAAAGGAGCATGCTGTGTTAAGGGGTGTGTTGGCAAGAGAGACAGCCTGTGTTAATAGAGTGGAGTAGTGTTCTTGCTCTGCAGTTTGGTGCTAGTAAGAATGGACCAAGGGTCATGAGTTGGTATTGTATGAACAAGTTCAAGGACAGCTTTAAATGAAACATCAGAAGGATGACACAGCTATCAAGTGTTTGCCTTCAGTGCTGTGGAGAGGTAAAGTGAGAAAGGTGTTAGGCCAGGGATATTATCTCTTAAAGTTTGCTGCAGTTAAACTCAGGCTCATTGGAAGATTATATTACTAGGTTATATACTCAGGTCTATTATTTTACTGCTTAAGTCTTCTGTCTCTTCACAAATTAATACAAGTGCCTCTGCATTTAATTTTGTTTTGCAATGTAAAGTGTTGCTTAAATGCACAAGATTCATGTTTTCCCTAGGTCCAAAGATAGTATGTACCATGCACTTGGATACAGCACTATTTTAGTTATGCAAGCTGCAATGACCTTTGAACAGCATGATATACAAATGGGAATTTCTACAATGAAGGATGCTTTGCAAACCTGCCAAAGGTAAGCCCAAGCAAGCCCAACAGTTATGAGATACTAAATCCAATAAACATTCTTTGTGAAATACCCCAGTTCTCTGCATGCTTTTAAAGCAGACTCTCGTCTGTATGATAGTGGTCTAAATTTGTAAAGACACAACACAATTATTTCTGGTGAGGATATTTTTCTACATGGTATTGTGGAAACAACAGACTTGTCCTGTCTGGCTATTAATAGCCACTAAAGTTGGGTAAATGGTTGGTTCACTGTGTAGACCTACATATAAGCTGACATTACACGATTAAGCTGTCTGAGCTATTGGCAACAGTGACTTTTTGTTTTCCAACAGTTTGGTAATATAACATCATAAAAGGCCTATATTTTGAATTTTCTCTCTCAGCATGAAAAGTCTTTTTAAAAAAGTTGCTTCCAAAGGTTGAACCAATAGTCTAATACAATTAAGCTTTAGTACTAAGTCTTTAAAATTAAAGAGCTATTATTCCCATCAGAAATTATCTGATCAGAAAGACCATTTTGCTGCTGGTCTTTCTTTGAACAGAAAAAAAAAACATCCTTAAAAAATGGACTGTGAAAGCTAAAGTTCTAACAAACCTCTGACAAAAATAGAAATTATTTCTGCTTTACGGGTTCTTCATCATATTGGATAGGCTATATTTTATCACAATGATCTCCCAAGAAATGAATGCCAAATATTTGTTCAGACATTTAACGTCACCATCAGTAAAAAAGAAAAGAAATGGGGAAATGTTACCACATGCTATCTGGAGAAGGGGTCAACAGTTTCTGCGTCTTTTTCAGGTGTGCTATCCATTTTCAGTTTCATCTCAACTATTGTTTACTATTAGTTTACTATTGTAACTTATTTAGTGTGTCTGAAAATTAGATATCCCTCTAGTCTAGACAGCTGCAGTGCAGGATTTCATCTCTGCAGGATATAAACTTTAATTCATGAGTACTCTGGTCTAGTCTGTCATAAAACTTGTAAAAATGCAAGATAAAGGCAATTAAATGTTCAAAGGTGAAGAATTACCATAACTACGTGTATCTTAATTGACTCTTTTCTTGTATGCATTATGTTAATGTGTAGTGTCATAATCTTCTTGTCAGGATCCCACAATTGTCAATGTGAAGAGTAGTGTAAACAAGTGATAAGCTAATGCTTAGTATTTATAATCAGTGACTCTCTGGCTTACAGAGTGCATTCACTTTCTAAATGTAGAATTGTTTCTCTAGCTTCTTCTTAAAGCCGAGTTGCTTGTAATTTTTTGTCCAAAATCAATTTTTGGAATTAAAACATGAGCAGTTGAGATCCCTTGAAAGTAAAGTATGTGATTGTTTTGGCATTTTATCTGGCATAAACCACCATAAATACTGAAGCATTTATATTGAAAACAGAGATTTTTATTTTTTTCATTCTAATTCTGAGTGCAAGTTTAAGAAACAGAAAAAAACAATTCATAGAACTTCAAAGTCCAGTTCAAGTGTCTTGTCCAGAGATCCCTCTGCAGCTGGTGAGTGGCAATGGGGTTGAAGCAGTCATATGTTTAAAGTAGATGAATTGAAGTTGCAAGCATACATTTAATGTTGGATAAGCTTTTTAGCCTAGAGGCATACAATTCTTTAGACTACTGGAAGAATTGAAACAGTTGACAAACAATCATTTTGCTAAGAATATCTGTAAATTTTGGTTTGGAAATGATTAAGAATTCAAATAATTAACCTGAGGTTTGTGTTAAATGTATGGCTTAATTTTCTTCATTGGATAACTTGCTTAGATTCAGGAAAAGAAGCACAGTGGTGGAATCCTTGTCCAATCTAGTTTCTAAACAGACGGTGGATCAGTTGAGTGAAGGTAAGTGGTTAAATAATCAGGTTAAAATAAAAAAGTGAAAAAAGGTCAAAATTACCCCTGCCAATGTGTACAAATATGCTTAACTCTGTGATTTGACTAGTGTCTTACAGTAATAAACATACAAACCATGTATATAATTTTTTTTTTCTAATTTGAATGCAAAGCTTCAGTGGAGAATTCAGCCTAATTTTCTTTTGTCTCTGAGCATGCATGAATTAAGAAAGGAATGCCTTTCACAACACATTGTAGGACTGAAGGGAAATTTCCTTTTTTGACTTAAGACAGCTCCCAAAAGTTTAAGAATCATTGATGTGGAGGAGTACATCCTTGTCATTAGTTGCATTGGAAACTGAATATATTAACAAGTTCTGTGCTTGTCTGTTTTGCCTTAAGGTGTTTTGGGAAATGGTATCAGTACATTGTTCATGGCTCTGAAAATGCTGATCTCCTATTTCTGATTCAGGCAGAATCAAGTATGCATTTTTTTCTAACCTGGCACAAGAATCCTCTTTAATACTTGGACACATCAAACTCACCACGTATGCACTGTACATACAGCAGCCTTGTGCATGTGGCTGGTCTTGGCAGCATGGGTGCAGAGCAACTTGTGTCATGTGTGTTAAATCAAATGTACTTTAGTGCTGCATGAAGACAGAAAGTCTGCCTGGGGCTTTCAGTTTGTTAAGCATGACTTGGTGAAAACCTGTTCATAATGTCTTAGTGGGTGTAGGAAAAGCCTGAACCTCTATGAGGGTTACCATTCATCTATAGAAATTTCTTGTAAGGCATGGAAGGAGGGCTGAAAGACTGAGTTGCTGTGGGCTATTAAGCTTAGAATCAATGAAAAGTACAGGAGACCACCTACTAGAATGTCAAGTAGCTTTTGGCACAGACTGAGGTCAGCTCTGACAATGTTTCGTCTAAGAAGGGAAGTAGAATTCTGTTGGGATTTGCGTGTTACAGCTATTAATCAGCAGTTATTGAAATGGCAACAGCAGAATTTTTGCTTTTTTTTTATTATTATTTTTTTCCTTGTCTTGGCAGCATTTTGTTTGTTCCATTGACCCCAAGAAGACAATATTGACAATGACTTTACTGATAGTAAATAACTTTTCTTTCTTATATAGAGGAAATGCATGCTGAAATCTGCTATGCTGAATGCTTATTACAGAAAGCAGCTCTCACCTTTGTACAGGTAAAGTCAATTTTTGATTTTATGTGACAGTGATGTCAGTAATGGAGACAGATCAGTACTTGTAAAACATGATTCCAGCCATAGATGTGATATTTTAAACCAAATTTTTTGCTAGTGGATGTTATTTCATGGCAGTGATTGAAAGTGTGGTAAATCCTGGGCTGCTCAGCAAAGTTATCTCTATGTTTGTATGAATAAGCGAAGATGATACTCAGATACCAAGTTATCACCCTAAGGTATATTGCTGTGTTATACAAGGTGGTATGTTTACATGATTTTCATTACATTGGACAGTGTCCAGTGCCTGTATAAAAATAAGTTCATGTATGAGGAAGTGTGTTGCTTGAAAGTGCAAGTCATTTTCTGCGTGAACGGGTAGAATATTTTCCAGCTAACAAAACTCCAGATGATACACATTTGTAATTTCCAATTCAGTCTTGCTCTCTATGCACATGATATCAGGAATAATACAGAAATTAATATTTATAAAATGGGCATGCCTTAGCATTGCTGAGGTAAAAATTCAGCTCACAGAAAGATCTGGTATTTTATACTGTGTGGTACTACTGATTTAGGTTGTGGTTCAGGGGCTTCATGGTAGAGTTTTCACATTCAATTTGAAATTTGATTCCTGAAAACAGGAGAGTTGTTAGTCATACTTTTAACGTATGTGAGTGTTTAGCAAGTATTTATTGAATGTATTTTAGATAATCTCTTCCAGTATAAATTATGAGAAAGAAGTGAGGCACATAGATACTGAGGTTGGATTAAGTTCCTTTGGCAAATACTTGTAAACTACTTTATCCAGTATTTGGCCAGAAGTGTCAGAAAATACTGCTAGTCTTTCCTCTAACTGGCTTGTTCCTTTACTAACCATGTATAAGCAACCCTCTTTATTTCTGTTGGGTGGATGGAGTCTGTTTCAACCATGAAAAGAATTTTGAAGCAGTTGTTGAAGGAGTTGAATTAGGACTGTATACAGTAATAGAAACCCCTTAGATGTATATTTTCTCTAAAACACTACATCTGTTACTACTTTTGACTGTAACACTCCACTTTGCTGGTTGCTGTGCTGCCCCTTATTTTTCATCTTTGGCTTACCATGATTCATGTTAGGATGGTGATGATAACAAAAATGTAACCACTCAGAGGGAAATAGAATTCTTGTACTGTAACACTTGCATTTGGATGTTCAGAAATGCAGACAAGACAGATTAGGTCTTTTGAAATGGTGATCCTTTCATGGAAGCCTTTGGTTGATTGTTCAGAGGCCTTTTTTTTTTTGGTGCTCTTTCATTTTGTACGTTGTATATTTTGTCCCTTGCTACCTTCAGCTAGGCAGAGGACCTGGTTCAGGAACAGCACGGTGACCAATCCCAGGTCACTCGGCCCATCCACACACAATGTGATGGATGGCAAAAATGCCGTTTATTGCTGAAGAATTTGACACTTTATAACCTAGGTTCACAGTGTCAGTCCCATCTGCTTTCGTCACAGCTAGGTGCTATTGGCTAATTACGGGGGTCATTACCATGAACTGTTGAGGGAGGGTAACTCTATCTTTCCGTACACCACGATATCTTCCGACAGCCGGGCCCCAGCTCCCCACATTTCCCCCCCTCCTTATGCTTAACTAAATTTGTTAGCATATAAGGTGTATTAGTCTTGAAAGTCCTAACATTATTTTATGTATATGTGTCTTTAAACATTTTATCTAACTTATCTATATTATGAAAAGTTTTAAAAGTAGATATAATAGACTTGGGTAAAAATATAAGGTGCACTATACTTAACTAAAAAGGCAAAAAACTTATAGACACCACAGTTTTTCATTGACAAACATAAGGCACACTGAACAGGCAGTGACCAAGTGCATTCTTAGCTGAGACAGTCCCTGTTGTTGGGTCACGATGGCAGAGACACCTGTGGCAGCACCAGTTGCTCCCAGGTTAAGCAGCATCGCTACGGTCACACCTGTCACCAGTTCTCTTTTCTGAAGTCGGGTGAGTCTCTCCGCCTGCAGGTTTAACTTCTCATCCGAGTGGTACAGGACCCTGGGAACAGTCACAACTTGCACACAAAAATCATTAGAAACACTGAAGTTATAAACTGATAGGCATAGGGTAATCATTGCCGGGTCTGTGCCCATCAGCCGCTGCAGGCTGGAGCCTTGCAGTTTAGGGGTTATTGGTGAGTGGATTCTCTGTCCCCCCTCTGTCACCCGGACCGGGAACGCTAGCTCAGCTGAAGGGACCCAGCTGGCACATGCAGCTTTTATTTCTTTCCAGTTCGTGAGAGGAGTATCCTCTCTCAGTTCTTTTTTAATGTGGAGGGGGATATTCTTGTTTATCTTCGTTGTTTCCTCCTCAAAGGAGTCTGTCTCGGACCACTCGTCCCCGCTGGTGTCTCGCTCGGAGCTGGAACTCGACTGGTCGGCTACTTCCGTTTTCTCGTACCCGTTTGTTGGGCTCCGACCTCGCCTACGCCCCTTGTGGGCAGGCCGGTCCCTCCCTCCTGGTTCTCCCAGCCTTTCACTCCGCCCTCTGTTCCGCCTTCTGCTCCTTTCCCCCTCTCGGATCGCCCCCCCCTCCCCTCTCTTTTAGATTCCTCTCCTGTTTTAGCCGTGCACCACCCCCGCATCTTATCTCTTTTGCTTCACGTTCTCTTTCTTTCTCACGTGCTTTATCTTTCTCGTCCTCATTCTTTTCCCAAACACGTACGCTTGTCAATGCCAGCGTTTGTTTCCTGCTCTTACCAAGGACATTTTCCCCTCGCCCTTTGTCTTTTTGCTCAGCACCATCTTGGGGCACATAGGGCCGTGGTCCCTCCCTGGCTTTCCCCGCAGCACCCCTGGCTTCCTCTGTTGACTCTTTCCAAAAGGTTTCTGCTCTCTGCTGTCTCTCTGTGAGCAGATCGGGAGTCGGGGATTGAAGGGACGTATCGCCTTCTTGTGTCCCCTTCGGCTCAGCCGAGCTGCTCTCGTCTGGGAGCTGTAATGTCTGGGTGGCAGCACTGACCCCCAATTTCAGGGTGGCCAGCAAATAGTTTTTTGCCGCCCTCCAAGTTTCCTCGGCAAGGGCCTCTGTACATCTGTCCCACACCTCAGGGTGGATAATATCTACTGGCTGGTCTATGACCCCAGTATGCAAAAGCCTTGCAACTGCAAGAATAAAATCCTTAGGTTTGCAATTGATACCCCACTGCTTGTGTAATTGCGATATGACCTTCACAAGGGCTTCCATCTCCTTGTTGGTCCAGGAGTGTCCTCCCCGCCGGGCTGGTCCAGCTGCCCTGACCGCTGTTCCCCTTTCCAGGCGATCCCCGCTCTCCGGATTTGGTTCCCGCTTTTCAAATTTGATTCCCAGGTTTCGGCACCACTTTGCTGCCTTCAGCGAGGCAAACACCATAGTTCAGGAACAGCACGGTGACCAATCCCAGGTTACTCGGTCTAATTCGCACACGACATCAATGTGATGGATGGCAAAAATGCCGTTTATTGCTGAAGAATTTGACACTTTATAACCTAGGTTCACAGTGTCAGTCCCATCTGCTTTCGTCACAGCTAGGTGCTATTGGCTAATTACGGGGGTCATTACCATGAACTGTTGAGGGAGGGTAACTCTATCTTTCCGTACACCACGATATCTTCCGACCGCCGGGCCCCAGCTCCCCACAGTCCCTAAGTATTTAAATGTGCACTTCTGAAATGCCAGCACATGTTTCCCTTTTGTGTGAATTCTAGGAGAAAATATTTCATCCTGTTGAACTGATAATGTCTTGCTTTTCAGGAATTAATTTTTGATAACAAGTACATTGTGGCTTTGTTTTGATTTTTATAGAGGTTAGTAAGCACATAAATTGAGTAGCACGTGTAGTTACTTTTGATCAGCAATGGAACTTCATCTGTTGAGGGGATTGTTAAGTTTGATTTGATTGATAAGTTTGTCTTCTGCCAGTTTGTGCAGGCTTCCTTGTGTGTATCAGGATCGCCATTCCCAAATGTTCCGAACAGTTCCGGCAGTGCCCTCTGGTGGAGAGCGTACTTGGTTCATTTATATACATTGCAAATTCTGCTAAAATACTCTCTTTTTCATCTCTCTCTTCAGTTTTAAAATTTGTAACATGCACAGTATTTCCCTGACAACTTAGAGCAAGCGTTAATGTCAGTCTTAGAGACACATCTAGTAACTGAAAAACATTTTTAGTGTTTCCTAAGACATTAACTTAAAAATAAATGTAAATGTAGCTGGAGGATTTTTATGTATGTATTATGTGTAATATGAATACACAATATTTTACTGTTAAATTTTTTTCTTCCAGGATGAAAATATGATCAACTTTATCAAAGGTGGTCTCAAAATTAGGACTAGTTACCAAATATACAAGTAAGCTATTAGAAAACATTAATATAAGCAGCTGGATTGGCATTAATGCCCCCAAAATAGTAAGGAATATTTTTATATCAATCATAGTAATGAATATAATTTCTGTCTCGTGTTTCTCCTTCCCTCCTTTTTTTCTCCATCACAAGGGAATGTCATCAGGTGCTACAGATGACTCAGGGGAACAAAAGCAAAAATGAAACATACTACCAGTTTGAAGGAGGAGTAAAACTTGGAATTGGAGCATTCAACTTGGTATGGCTTCTTCCACTACAGAAAGGCCATGGGGATAATTCTGTAGGACTGTCTTTCTTTGTATATGCAGTACTGCAACTGGTGTCACATTTACACATTTGTAAAATAGATACAGGGTTTGGAGGTTTTATGCAGTATGAAACCAGCAGCAGCTTCTGGCATGCATGCTTTCTGGTTTATTCCAAACTGTTTCATTCTCTGGAAATAACTAAAGTATGTATTTGTGAAGTGAAAAAGCAGCTGCATCTACCTGTGTGTAGCAGGATTTTTAAAGAGGAGGTTACCGTGGCTGTGGTTACAGAATACCTGGAGTGGCTGTTTAATTCTAACTCCCCCATGTATCCTGTTCTTTTGCTGCAATGACATACTCTAGATTCACATAGATAATTATAGTTAGAAGAATGAGCAGTACTTTACTGAGTTAGTGCAAAAGAAAATTGCATTTTCTTTACAATTTGCTACAGTTACCTTTTCACATCTGTCATGGCAATGGTGAAAGTCTATTTCTGCCAGTGTTTTAATTTCTGTATCGTTCTAGATTGGAGATGGTCAATTTTGAGTATGGTCGGAAGAACTCAGGTGTATCTGCACCGGACTTGAAAATTCTAGCAACTGTGTTCATAAGTGCTTTGACCTCTCCTATTCTTCATAGAGTCTTCTCAGTAGGAGGCTTAACAGAAAAAGTGTCTGATGGGCAGAATATATTAGGGTGAATGGAGCTTTCTAAAAACTGACCCTCAAGTAGACCTGCTTCTTAATTCTCATTGAAAAGGTGGTTATGGTGTTTGTACATTTTCTGTTACGTAGGATGTGGAGAATGCAGTTACAGAGATAGCAAAAACACCTACAATAGAGGGCTAAAGAATGATAGCAACAGCTAGTATTTCTGAAACCATTATGCTCACTGATCTGCTGATTCAGTGCTCCCACAGGAGGAGCAAGTAGAGCTTCTGTGAGACTCACAATAAAATGGAGTGACCGTCAAGGAAGATGACAATTGTAGGTTATAAGTAATATCGAAATATATAAGACTTTCATTCCAAAAGACCCACCACTTTCAAGCAAGTCTGACCACCTGAAGGTAGAAACTTCATCTGTCATAATCTGAAGAAGCACAGTTGGACTCTTGTATATTTTCATGCTGGATGATCATCAGAAATCTGGTCATGCATGTTTACTTTCAAGTTCTTTTGTGTTTTTCTTTGCATTTAACATAGTAGCTGGCCTTTTTGGTTCACATTTATAGCAATTTAACTTTTTTTGAAGTGTACATGTTTTTTAATTATCCTTTCATTTTTAAATGTATTTCAGATGCTGTCACTTTTACCAGGAAGGATCCTCCGACTTCTAGAATTTATTGGATTTTCTGGCAATAGGGTATTTGCTTTGATACTTGCTTTTTCAAATTAATTTTTTCTCAGATAAAAGACTAGATTAATTTAATGTCTTACATTCCACACCAAAATTATAATCTCGATTGCTTATCAGTATTTTAGTGTTTTTAAAAAGATAAATGGGTTAGATGATACAGGCATAAAAGCACATATGATGATAACCCCACTCTTTAACAACCATGGGAAATTACCAGTTAAGAGGAGATTCTGCCAATGCAGTTTCCTTTCCTTTTGCTGATCCTTAAGTAGAGGATATCAGCTTTCTTTTCTAGTTGATGTAGTCAGAAACTGACAGTCCTCAGCAGTAACTGAGGGAAGAATCACAGTTCTACATTTTTCCACCTAAAATCCCAGCCCATTTCTTTGGAAAAAAGAATTTCTGAATATCATGTGTCACCCTGGAATCTAGGTACATTTTTCTCTTATGAATGAGAAAAATATTTGTAACGTGTTTTGTAAATATTTTACTGCTCTTTAAAACTCTTTTTGATGCCCCTAAGAAATGAAAAAACCCAAGCAAAACTCAAGAAAAAATCCCAAATAAAATAACCCACAGAATGGTACACAAGTGAACTTCAAATTATTAACGCTAGTCACCATATGATCTTACTGCTGTTAGCTTGTCCACAGCATGGGTCTCCTGCTGTAAAATAAGACTTCACTAGAGATCTGTTCATTCTGTTTCTTCCTCTGAAAAACCTGGTTCATGCTGAAGCTCTTCCAAAATACACACTTTTCCCTGACTAAAAATGCAATAAAGGCTGAAAGAAAATGAACTAGTTTGAAATATCATCACGATTTTTTTGTGTGGTGCTTGAGTTCTCCTATAATTCATCAAGTTGCTATAATTCATCAAATTGCTGTGCAGTAAAACTGATCTGTTAATATTTGAGGCAAAATTATGTTTCTGAGGAGTCAGTGCTTTTGATCAGGAAACTCAGCCCCCCCTAGAGTGTTATGTAATGGGACTAAACAGGAACAAGATGGAAATCTCATGTGTTTAGAGCTGTGTAAGGCTCCGTGAAGCTGGACCTGTCTTTAGACACTGCTGTATCAGCAGAGGTAGTATTTTGGTCAGAAACTCAAAGTAGTGGCTGACTTGATGGAAGAGAATTGAGGATAACCAGGGTTTTCTGTGAAGGAAGACTCACACTAACAAGTATCACTGGAACAGCTGGGAGAGTTTTTCTCTGAACGTATGTTGAAGGATGATATTCTGAAAGGCTCATAGTCAGAACACAATGGGGAAGGGTTGTAGACCTGTGTGTCTGGATGGTTCATGTGTTCCCATTTCACCAGAGCCCTGAAATGCATGATTTTATTAGGAGTAAGATTAGTCTTCTCCTTCTTCAGTGCTATTAGCTGTGACAGAAACTTTTTGGTAGAGGGTTGTGTTGGATTCTAGATAAGCACCGAATTACGAACTACTTAAATCTGAAAGGAAAACTGAATTTTGGTTAGCCAGAAAAAAAATAATAGTAACTCTGTATACTCATAGTTAATTCTGCATGTGTTTGTGATGTTTCTTAGGAGTTGGGCCTCTGCCAACTACGGGAAGGCGCATCTGGCAGCAGTTTGAGGGCCATTCTGTGTACTTTCACCCTGTTGGTTTATCATACTTACGTCTCCTTAATCCTTGGTGAGACCCACTGTGTAGCTTTTCAGTCATGCTACACCTTATGGTAGATATTGTGATTTATTTCTCTAACTGAATTTCAAAATTGTGGCCTAATGTAATTAATTATGGTATAAATTAATGTGACCTAATGTAGTTAATAAGGATATAAAATTAATACCCATGACAAAGCTGTGTCTGCAGAAACAGGGTTGATAGCATTATACCAACATCTTGCTCCATTTGCAGGGCTGTCTCAACAGCAAAGTATTGCAAAACGGTATTAAGTTCAGAAAAGTGGTCATCCATAAATTAACATCAGATGTTGTGAAAACTACCTCCAGAAAAAAGCCTATACACCCAGAATTAATCACTTTTGCCATTTAGAGCTAAAAGTCATAATTAATTCTATATGCTTCTTTGCCATATATTTTCACATTCTCTAATATTTAAGTATTTTTAGTACTTGTCCCTCAGGCTCATCAGGAAATTAAGGAGAACTTCATTTCTTCCAGTGTCACTTGTATTTCATTACTGAGTTCAAAATCAGGAGAAGAGGCAACTGAAGAATGTTTTCCTAACTTGCTAAAACAATTAAAGGGATTTAAAAATATAACTAGGATCAATAATGGAACAGTCTAAAAAACATTCCTATAATTCTAGTCTGTTTCTACTTACAGACAGTATTTTTAAAGCACTTAGTATCTTTGGGACAATAATTTAGTTTTATAGGTACACAATATGATGAAATAATTCTGCTTTCACATAAAGCAATCATCCATTGATCTATCAAATGTGATTTAAAAAAAATCTTAGTCTATGAAACTTGGATTTTTTAAAGTACACTGAGGTTGATTTGCTATGTTTTCTAGGTACAGGGGAAGCCAACCTTCAGGAAGCAGACACTCTTCTCGAGCCCTACCTCCATAAATTTCCAAATGTGCGTATTTTTAATAAATTTTATAACAGAAATATACTTCCCTAAGCTCAAACTCCTTACTGGTTATTTTTCTCATCTCTTTTCAAGGGTTCCATTATTCTCTTTTATGCTGCCAGAATAGACATACTGAAAGGAAATTTTGAAAAGGTAAATAAATTTTTCTTTCTAAGGTTTTTGTGTAGTGTTTAGCCTGAGGGGGGAAAAATAATTTAATTCATCTACATATCAGTTGGACTGATAAGTGTGCTGTTAACCCTGTTCACATTCACTGTCGATGTTGATTCCAGCCCTCTCTCTAAGTGAGACTGAAAGGGAAGTTTATCTCATTTTACTTGTCAGGTGTTCACCTGGGTACTAGGTAAGAATTTGCTCTGTAATTAGGCATTGCTCTTACATGAAACTGTAATTGAGCCAGTTTTTGTCATTCTTCCTTCCCTTTTCATAGGCACAATTGAGGTTCCAAGACTGCATAGCAGCCCAGCAAGAGTGGAAACAGATTCATCATCTTTGTTACTGGGAACTGATGTGGTGCTACACCTTCCAGCAGGACTGGCTTCAAGCATATCGGTATGCAGACCTGCTCAGCAAAGAGAGCAGGTGGTCTAAGGTAAATGGGCAGGTGGACATTGTTGTGATATACCAGTGGTCTCTACAGTTAAAGTTACTTTTCATTTTGCACAATAAGTGTAATGTTTGCCTTCCTGAGAAACTCACAAGCAATGACAAAATGCCACCAAAATGTTGTAACTGGGTGGTTAAGGATGAATTTTTATTTCATGTTCTGAAGCAGCAGAACCATAAGCAGTAATGCTTTGGCCCTTCCAAAAATGGAGGTACTTACCTGAGTTGGGAGAAAGAAGAGGAAGAGGAAACCTGTAAACCTTGTCTCTCAAGTCAAGTTCTAGCACTCACTAGTAAAACTTGGCTGAAGAAACTGTGTTTGGTGCTTATAAACAGACACACCTACTCAGCAGCTGGTTTGTGGCACAAAATGAAGCTGCTGGGGACAGGATCTCACAAGAAAGGCTGGGCTACCAGATAACCTTTTCCTTGAAAAAACATTTCTCAGAGTATGAACCAAACACACACAATGTGTCAATAACCTTTTATGCATTATTATTGTCTGTTCCTCTCTAGATTACTGTTTTATTATCTTAATGAAAAAGCGTATACATCTAATTCTTGGCAAAAGAGGAAGAGAATAATATATTCAACATGAAGTGCAAGTGTCTTTAATAGAATTACAGGTTTTTTGGGTTTTTTTTCTGCAAAGCCCAGTTATTAAACTGCCCTTAAATCAGTACTCAGATACTTCCTGCCATTTTTGTCAAGCATATCTCTACATGTAATAGATCATATAATAACAGTAGTGGACTTCAGAACAGTTAAGTCAGTTAACCTTACCTCTTCAACAGTGGTTTGCATAATAAATTCTCCTGTTCTTTGCAGGAAATACCTTTAACTTTCTGACTAATATAAAATATTAATAAATACATTAAAAATAAAATTACAGCACAAATGATGACAGAGGGAATGCTAAACTTTTATAGTTCTAACTGCCTGAGAATTATGGAAACACTTTGCTGCAGCATTTGGGGTGGGAGATTTGAGTCTTTAATGTATTGATTAAACATAGAAAATTAGATGTGGTAATCTGTTTCTGTTTCTTTTTGAAATAGGCAATATATGTATTCCAGAAGGCAGCTATTCTGTGTATGCTTCCAGAGGATGATTTGAAGAGGACTGGTGAGGACATAGTGTCTTTATTCAGGTAAACTTCTATAAAGCAGCTGAATATGCACTCTTTCTCCTGCCATGTCTTTTTCTTGTGTGACTTACTTCTTGCTTATTACCATAAGCTTTTCATTTTTTTCTCTTTGCCTTTAGCATTAGAATTGCTTTTATCAGCAAAGACATACAGCTCTGGTCTCCATGGTGTAAAACAATTTTAAGATGTTATATTTCAGAGGAAAACAGTAAATCTTTCTAATTGAAATGAGATGAAAAAAAATACAAAAACTACTTCCGTTTTCCATTTCCCCTTCTTGTAGACAAGTGGATGGTCTAAAGCAGAGAATTGCAGGAAAATCTATCCCAACGGAGAAGTTTGCAGTAAGGAAAGCTCGACGCTATGCATGTCCTGAACCAGTGAAGCTGATACTACCTGCCTTGGTACTTGTTCTTGCTTTGTTTTCATCCTTTTAAAAAAGAAAATGAATCAGTATACTTTATTATAGAGGGAAGGAAAAATATTGTCAGGTATTATGTGTCTGCATTTTAAATTTTTTATGAAGTATTGCATTCATACAATGTGATTTTTGTGGAAAGTATTAGGGACTGGATCATACTACCAACTAAGCAGTAGTCTGAAACAAGCACCAGATTTTTCATTTGAAAAGTTCAGCATACAGCATTCCATGTTCTTTAGGTTGGCATATTTTTAGTCCTTATCTTCTAGACTCACTAGGAAGTTAAGGAGTACTTTGATACTTTCTGTTTTTCTGATGAAAATGAAGAGTGGTGGTCAGTTTTGTTGTGGATTTTTTTTTTTTTTCGTTGTATTGAGTCTGATGAAAATGTACAGAAGTTAAAGGTACTTTATGAATGCTATTCTAAATTCCCATATTTTAACTTCAGAGTCATTACTATTGCACAATCTGTTGATATGGGCACAGCAGTGGTACTTCTCATATGTGTATGCTAAAATCCTTGTACATGCATAATTTACCAACGACTGTACATGAAAAACCTAATGTGAGAAGGAGTTTCTTATGTTAAAGTTCATTGATATAGAAAGAGGAGTCCAAAGAAAATTAATCCACCGGCTATAAAATTCATTCTGTATTAAATTGCATGTAGAATACTTAAGTAAAATTTGTCTTGGGCTTGTTCAGCAGAGTGCTTGTGAGTGTATATATTTGGTCTTGCTGTCAAATCCAGTATCTTTTAATTTAGGAATTTTTTCATAATGGATTAGTCATAACCAAACATAGTGTATGGTTTATTTCAGTAAGTATAAGTTACACAGGACTACAGAATTGAAATAAATCTAGCATGATGTAGTTGATGATGTTAATAACATCATAACATAATAACTGTTTCAGACTTCTATAGAGCCAGATTTTTTTCTCTGTCTGAAAACCTACATATTTACAGTACAAATAGAAGTGGAAATATTTCACCAATGTATTGTATCAGCTTCAGAATGACATCACTCTTCATATTTCAGAGCTGTAATTTCAGTTAAGGTAGAACAAATGATACTCCAGTTTGTGATGACTGAGTAAAGGTCTTGGCAAAGCTTCTTGTTGGTTAGCATTAACCCTCATTCCCCTTAAGTTTTACAATGTGATAATGTATCAAAACAAGCTTATTGCTTTCTGTTGTTCTGAGGCATCTGGGAAGATTTGTTTACAGGATTTGCCTTGTTTCTTTTTTTCAACAAGATTTTGTAGAAGTTATAGTAAAACCATGTTGGATATGCCTACTGGGGTCACATTTTTATCTAGAAAGTTGTATCTACTTCCAGTTTCATTCTGTATGGAAGGTAGTGGTGTATAGAATCGAACATATATATATATATATATATATATATATATGTATAAAAAACAAACAAGTGTGTTTGTATACTGTGCATACCAGCACACACACAAATGTATACCAAATTTACCTATCATCCTTTAGAAAGTAACTACTTTTAGTTCTTTTTTTAGTTCCTGTGGCAGAGACTGCAGGTTGAACCTAAGGCATCGAGTTTTGCTGATGTGTTTTGTGGGTGATGGTAAACTGTCCCGATAAAATCTGTTGTTTCATTCTTGAAGATCTGTGGAAATACATGATAGTAAAATCCATTAAAAAGGCATCAAAACATTCAAAACTTAGAAGCCCAGGTTAATTTTGTCAACACACGTTCAACATAATTTTTTCTTTTCCTATTCATAGATGTTTTATACCAAAACAAGCTTTTGGTAGTATCTTTAAGTACTCAAGAATGTTCTGCAGTAGCCTTTTCAGACGCACTCTTTAGTTAAATATTTATGCAGTTCCAGTGGTTTTTCTTACCTTTTTGATTGGTTGGTTTTGTTTTCATTTTTTTTGATCAGGAAATGATGTATGTCTGGAATGGATTTGCAATTGTGGGCAAAAGAGCAGACCTCACTGAAAACTTACTGGTAACAATTGAAAAAGAAGAAACTGCTCTACAAAATGAAACTAGTAAGTGGTCAGTTAAGGTGGAATTAATCATCTTATAAGAAATGCTGACATTTTTCTATGCTTCTGTCTTCCAATATTCTGAAAAGTGAGTGTTTGCTTTGACAATGTGCTAATTAAGTCTAAGTATGGAAATTTTGGAGCCATGTGAAAGTTAGGAGTGGTTCTTCAATATGTTCTTTACTCAGCTTGATTGATATTGCAGATGAATACAGAAAAATCAGGGACATGAAGTTATCAGTTACAGAACATGACTGGTCTAGTTAAGTTTTTCTTATGTTTGAGACTGTTCTTGGACCATAATCTTCTAATGTCTTAAACGTCTTAAATGTAAAACCAATTTATATCATATTTTATTACAGAGGACACATGCTACATAGTGCTATGCATGAATGAGTCTGGTTTTTTTGTTTTACTTTCTGGCAAAGTAAAACATATTTGCTAGTTGTGAAATGAAACATAACAAATAAGCTTCCATGATTTTACATCTGAGGGTAATATTTAGAGAATCAGCCCGTAACTCCTAAAAGAATTTAAATTCAATTATTGCAACTGGTTTATTGCACGAGTACTTGATTTTATCAGATTTTATCAGGGTGGTTCTGTCACCTGTCATGTGAATTTTTTGGTGCAGTTGTTTTTTGAGTTTTTCTAGAATTAATATTATGGTTTTGCATGTGTAATTTTTTAAACGATAATTCACTAAGATAATTTCTATTGAACCCAGACTTTAGTCGTGCTTGTGAACAATTTAGCAACTTAGTTTTACCTGTGGTTAAAACAGCAATTCTAAAACATAAGATACATCAAAATATGATTTACAGTGTAAATTGAGATGATGCATTAGAAATTACACAGGGACATGCAAGAAATATATAATGGTCAAATGTGGATGCTATTATAAACCAAATAAGAGTAACCTGCATTGCATACTTGAACTGTGTTCCTTTACTTTCTGTGTTGCTCTTCACTTTTCTGCAGAATCAGTAGTGTGCCTCCTAAATCTCAGGTGTTTTCCTTTTTCATTGTTGTGATGTTAAAACAAAAGTGTAGTGATATGCAAGATATTTGCAAATAAAGTAATTCCCATGAGCTCCACGTGGAGGGTTTGGCAGAACCTGCTGGAAATCCAGTGCTGTATTGTGCAGAGGTTTGTACTAGAAGTGCTCATCAGTTGTAACAGTGAAGTAAATTTCCTATCTGATCCCTAAGTAGAGATGTACAAGGTACCAAAATAAAAGCAGTGGAAATAAAACCACTGTGTTTTTCTTAAAGAAGTTCACTGCTAGATATAGTCTGGAAGTGTATATATTTTCTCTGTTGTTTTTTTAGTAATAAATTCAGTCAGATGTAAGTTTATTCTGGACTTCATATATGTGATCTTGATCTGCTTTTAAAGATACGGAATCAGTGAAAAAAGACTCTGATTACCAGAGTTGCTGCTGAATCCCTAAAAAAAAGGTGATTAAGGCTGCCAGCAGAGTATGACAAGTTACAATATAATTTTAAGAGACAGTAGTAGCCATGTCAAAGGATTGCTGTGAAAAAAGGGTGTTGATTATACACAAAGGTCACTTAGGGATTAAGACTTCCTAGAACTGTTTTTACTTCATTTGCTGCACATGACCAGGCACAGCATGGAATCATTCAAGGACTGAAATTAATTTTGTTGTATAGAGCTGAAGATAGAGCTGGTAGAAGGAACAAATGAAAGACTCTTTTTTTCCCCCAGGATTTCTGGGCATCTTTTTTGTTTTTTTTTTTAATTTCCAATATCTATGTCTATATCTATATATATATATATGTAAAAGAATATGTAACTTCAACAAAAAGGTAATTTTTTGTTTGGTTTTTTTTGTCCTGGTAACAATACTTTCTTTGGTGTAGAGCACTGCAGTTGCTCCCACATTTATTGCAAGGTTGTCTGTGTTAAATTGGCCTGCATTTTTCTCATCCTTTACTGTTAATGTTTTGGCATAATAGCTTTTATTCTTTTGGGAAATAAGACTACTAGTTGAAGTTGTTAAAGACTAGCGAGCCCTTACTGACATCAGTACATGCTCCCAGTAATTTCAGTGAGCGCGTCCTTCAGGAGACAGTCACAGAATCCAACGCCTTAGCCTAGCAAAACAGGCTAGAGAGAATGCAAAGTACTCATGTGCTGAATTTCTACTATCACTAAAAGCGCAGTCTTGTCAGTTACAATCTATCAAGACTTTCTGGGTTTAAACACAGACAGAAATAAGGCTGAACATAGTGGCAAAGCACTTTGCAGGATCCTAAAATGCATTAGTCTTGCATGTTTCAGAACTGTTTACGTAGGATTTCTTTGGCAGACTATTAAGGAAAAAAATAATGTGACCTTAGAGAGCTGGTAATTAGTTGTAAACAACATGATCTGAAGGGAGAGTGTTATGCTTCCTGAATTGTTAATGTATGTGGTGCCATCTGTCTATCCATATGTGTTTGCTTTCCTTTCTTTTCCTTCCCTTTACCCACCAAATGCTACAAACTAAGGGAACTAAAAAGGATCACACTTGATAAGTAAATTTTGAATTGATTCAAGCACCCTCTTTCATCTGGTGTTTTTAGTCCTATTGAATTTTTCAAAAACTACACAGTACTACTGAGGCTTTTCAAATATTAAAGATGATAAAAATACTAGTAAACATGGTTTTTTTAATTTATACGGCAAAATGATGCTTCTGAAGAGTTCTGTAGGACAGAGTCATGGTGTGGTTTTACGGGTTTTTTTATGTTACCGTTGCTGCTGGAGTTCTGTCAGTGCTCTGTAACACAGGAATATAATTAACTATTAAAATTAACTGTTAAGATAACATGCTGGTTTCTGTCTCACTCTGGTTTCACGTGTTGCAAGTAAGAAATCTTTAATGACTGTTTATGTAATGTAATATACTTAATTAATGACTATTTGATCTTCAAGTAATGAAGTTTATACCTGTTTGTTGGATGTGTCGATTTCTTCTTATTTCTTCTTTGCCTGTCTTTTAAGAGAAAGATATGGATGTCATGGACACATCTTCTTTAGTAGACAGTATTTTAAATCATGCCTGAATGTTATGTACATTTTGAGGTATAGAACATGAGAAACAATGTCCTGAATCTTGATATATATTCCCTACTGAAAATCTAATTTCCATTTTCATGATGTCTTCAAATTGTTTGACATATCTCACTTTTATTTTCAGATCACAATGAATACTATGTGGATGATGTGTGCATGTTGCAGCTACTGAAAGGCCTCTGCCTGAAACACTTGGGAAGACTCATGCAAGCTGAATTATGTTTCAGTAAAGTAATTCAAAGGTAAGAAAGTAACAGAAATAGATATTCTAGCTTTTGGTGACATTTCTGATACTCCTGTTACAGCTGTCATACTTGAATTTGGAATAATTAAACATTGTGTTAAGGAGCTGGAACTAAAATAGCTCTGAAAATAGTTAGAGAACCAGAAAACTTTGCTTGTGTTTTTCTGTAGCAGTTTGACACTTAATTTAGCTTTCTGTATGTGGTGTTTGAAGCTAAATAAATCAAACTGCCTGGTAACATACCCAAATACATTTGGAATTGTATCTGCAGAACTACCTGTAAGTAAGGATACCTGTAAGTAAGTTTCCTGGGGTTTTTTTTATTATTCAGTATTTAGTACTTCAGTAGTGAGTGCTTCCCCATGTAGATGAGAAGTTGTTGTTACATGTTTTAGTTGAAGACTGTTTTTCCTGTGTTACAGATTTTCAGGTCTCAGATCCATACCAGCTGTAATAGCTTTTCTGTTTAAAACATGAGTCAGGTACTGGTTGTAGATGAAAACTTCTTAGAAGTTTTTAGGTATTTGGGCTGAAGAAGCATTTTTACATGTGCAATATTTCTAACAAGTGATTTTGAAAAATTAATAATACAGTTTGTTATTAAGAATTGTGTGTTTTAATTCTCTTGCCATCTTGTTTTCTCTTACTGTTTCTAAGATCCCATGTGAGTTTAGTCAAGCACATTGCAAGCGACAGGCAGAGGGGTTTGATTGGTTGCAAGTTAAAGGAACACAATTTCTGAATCATCTTTTTCCAAAGGTAGCTGGCAATGGGCAAGCTTTTATAGCTGAGATATTTTTAGAAATCTAAAGACAGCAGTTCTTCATAAGTGGTATGTTTTGCATGGGTGAGAGGAAAGGTTTTGTGGTGAACATTTTGTTCAGCTTTATTTTCTAAATGTTTAGGGCTGCTATAGTGCTCTAAGACTGTTTATCAATGTGTACAGAATTAACCAGTAAAAAAGGCTTCAGAATGGTTTTTCTGGCTATGTGCTGTTACTGGCAGTGATTGCTTTTAAAAGTTAACTGGTCACTTGAGACAGGGTTGTAATAATTGCTGTATTTTTCTGGTTTTCTAGTGAGAAGCAAATAAAATATGACAGTTACTTGGTGCCATTCACGCTGTATGAATTGGGTCTTCTGTACAAACAACAGGATGAGAGAGAAAAAGCAATAAGATACATAGAAACTGCAAAGTAAGTGGATTTTTTTTTTATTACCTTGTAAATTAAGAATAGCTGTGTATTTGTAGCAATGAAGGCACATTTTTTTTCTTCCTGACAGCTTCCTTGCAAAATACAAGTAATTATAAATCTGTGTTCTTGATTTGCAGAACTTGTCCAATATAATTGAATTTTGCAGTTTCATGAACTGTCCATTAGACACAGTGGAATAGGCAGATTCAAATAAGACAGAGTATGAAGGGAAAATGTCTCCTTCTTGTATGGGCTTCACAGATACTGAGGGTCCACTGCCTGCACGACATGAAGCTGGAGATTCCAGGGAAGGGATATGTACGGGCAGCTGTGGGAATTAAATCGGCTCCACTAAAGTTGTTGATAAGAGTAGGTTAACAGCCAGTACACCAGTCTGACCCCTTTTTCCTTTCACATGGTGTCACAGAAGACCACCTGAGGGTTTAATTTACTGTAGAGCAGCATGCCTGCGTCATCTGTAGATGGCAGCAGGAGGTAGAATGTCCCTTGTGTTTACAGAGAAGTAGCTCAGTCTTGTAATAGCGTCCCCTCATGGGTTTTTGTTTGTTTGTTTGTTTTGGGGGGATGGGAATTATAGAATAAAATCTCTGTAAATATCCAGAGTTTATTACTCTGGCTGAATTGTGTTCTGAGTTGGAACATACATTTTCTACTAACACCCTATTCTGTAGTATTTTGGCTTGTCTTTTCACAGCAAATTTCAGTAAATGGGAGGGCTGTTAAAAAGATCAAAATAAGTTCAAGAGATGCTAAGACACTGGTTCAGTTTATCAGGACATTTAATTTTAATACTGGTCTAAGTCTTCTTTGCTCAACTTGTGGATGTAGCTTTAAATGTCTCATAACTCATTTGTGTGTCAATTTCCTGTTGAAGGAATAAAGACTGTTAACTTACAAACATATGAAGTAGAAACAATCTAGTCCAAACATACTTTTCTTAAAATAAGTTGTCTGTTTTGCAGAAACAACTACAAGGAATACTCTATGGAATCCAGGTTGCACTTCAGAATTCATGCAGCACTTGACAGCTTGAAGGTGTCACCTGCTTCAACACCTTAAAATGAGGAGGGATGCTTTTCATGCAAACAATAAATAGCCTACACAATCTTTTTGCAATCTTTTTTTAATCATAGAGAAGAACATAATGATTGTTTTCTGTCACTTTTGATTTGATGTATGTTATTCCTTTAGAAGCTTTCTCTATAGCACCTATACTGTATCTACATGCTGTTTTAAAGAAGACCTTATATTTTGTTTGATAAAAATAATTTAATATTTGACTTGAATGGGGGATATTTTTAAAACAAAGGTGATGGTGCAATAAAGTTTAATGAAAATACTTTATTTTTTTTATATAAGAACAGATGCAGGTTATGCAGTGGAGCTGGTGATAATTTCTGAATTTTTTTGAAAGTTTGAATTTCTGCAGTATGCTTGAGACTTTTTTTTTCCCTCTGGAACAAAAATGCAATGTCTGCAGATAACCTTACCCACATTTTTTGGCGTACCATACTCTGAAACTTGTGTTCCAGAGGAAAGAATTAGTCATCTTTGACTTAATTTCATTTTGGGAACAAAATGAACTTGTCTGAAGTGCAATATTTTTACTCTGTCAGATGAAGCTAAGAGGGCTTCAGATGAAGCTGAACAGGGCTATAGTTATAATGTCTTTGCAGGTCTGTTTCATTCAAAAGAAGTGCTTACAGGGGATATTTTTCACTTGTAGAAAAGCAGAGCTACAAAGGACATTATGTCCTTATTCTAAAGTAGAATCAGCAGTCTTAAGTTGATCCTGACAGATTTATTTCACCTGTTTAACAAAAAAAAAAAAAAAAAAAAAGGCACTGAGAAAGTCATTTTGGAACTTACATAAAATGTCTTTCCCAGTGAGAAAAGACTGGGAAATTTTGCCTGATGTCTACCCCAGATAATTCTTGGCACAACTGAAACTGATTGTTTCCCATCTTCCCTGTCATGGATCTGGAGAAAGGATTGTTCTTTTCATTTTTGAAGCAATCATTTAATGTTTGTAGACTAGCACCCTAGTTGGTATTCTCTGTTCTTAGATCCCAACCAAAGTAAATAAAAAATTAGTGGATTTATATATTTTCCTAATAATGAGTTATAATTCATATAAACAGAAGTTGATTGCATTTCGAAAAGCAAATCCACTTTTAAACTTGCAGTTAAGAAAATGTGCATATTCTAGTACAATGTCTACCAAAAATGTGCAGTAAAATTGAGATACTTATAAGTGCATGCATTTTTCTTTTCATGCTAATAATCAAACAGCAGAATCAAATTGAATTTCCCGTTTATTTAGATACACAGATTTTCTAGCTGTCTGTTCTTAAAAATAAAAATATATTTGATTTATATTTTAAGTATACACCTGGTAACTCTTTTCACTAGCTATTGCAAAACTTGAAATTTCCATATTTTATCCATGTCCAGCATGTTTACTTCTGCACAGTAAATTCATAGTACCTGTGCTCATATATGTGATTCGCTGCCCTTAATTACCACCCAAGCAAAATCACTATAAAAGAAATAAGTGAAAAATATGTCCTCAGTAAATGAGTAACTGAAGTTTCTAATTAAACAGTCAATATAATCTAAATGCTATAGCAATTCTCAGGTTACTGAGAAAACAGCTTTCTTCTGTGACTAATAAATCATGGGTTCATTTAATTGCTTATAATTCTGTAATACAGTGGTGTTTTTACAGAAGTAAGAGTTTAAAAATATTAGGTAAATAAATATAATGGGTCTTTTAAAATGGAAACCTGATCCAAAGTCTTTCTTTGTTGGTTTGGATTTGTGCCTATTGTAAATGTGCAAGTAATTGTGTAAAATTATACACATGAAGGTCTGAAGCTTAGATACCCAAGACACTGAATTACAGATAAAATAAGCATGCTTATTTTCAAATATATTCAGTTAACTGTAGTTAAACTTCAAAACAGATATTAGATATGCTGTCAACTGACTTCTAAAGATTTTCCCATTTATCTGATTGTAAACTGTAGTGAGCATAAACTCATATTTTCCAAGTATACTTCTAATGGATCTGTGGGCATTGTATGTTCAGTCTAGGATTATTTTGGTTTAATCTGATTATTGGATTGGGGTCTGATTCATTTTTCTGTGGAAGGTGTTGAGAACAATTGCCAGTAAAACTTCTGTAATTTGTGTTCTAAATAGTACTTCACTCTAGAAGAATTATAACTAGACTACAGACTCTCAGAGCAGAGCATGATGTAGTCTCTGATATCTTGTTTTTGTGCGGAGTGTTTTACAGCTAATATTTTATGGGTAATTTGAGATAGAAATCAAAATTTAAAAAAAATTATCTTCCTTAGAAACTGATTTTTTCTAAGTTTAGTACAAAGCTTCAAGAAACAGTGTACTTTTTTCGCAGGGGTGATGACTTCAGTACTGACTGAAGAGAAACAAAAAAAAAAAATGTTTTCTTCAGTTCAACCTTCCAAAGTAATATTAGTTCCCTATGTATGTTATACTGTGTTTCTTTTGGAATCAGCCTTTTTGCACTCCTGCAGAGAACAGGCTTATCAATGTAGATTTGCAGTACCCTCTGTCATGTTTTCAGGACCCAATATTAAGTGCTATTTAGAGTTTGTCTCGTTGTTGTGCTGCTGTTCCAGACTTTGCTAGAAAGATTGATTGATCAGGATTCTTAGCTTTAAGCTTTATTCTGGGCATTTTTTTTCCATGTTATTAAAGGTGGAAGCATAAATGTGTGAGAGTGATTTGTAACCCTTCAGTTAAGGTAGGTCTCCACAGAACTGCAAAAGATGCTTAGTTTTCCAAATGCTGCAGAAAAGTGCATGTTTCCTTGACATGATGCATCAGTGATGCAGTATAATTTAGGACATTGTGTCTGAGTTAAGTGATTCCTGTTCAAGAGTTCAGACAGTTGGTCTGTGGCTTATTTTGTTTTATTTTATTTTTTTTTTTAATCTGTATTCTGTACTGGGCCTTAAACACAGCTCTGATTTAGTCTTAACTGCTGTTCATAATATTTACTGCACATGCTCATCCTCCATAGGAATTTTGAATATTGTGCTGAGACTTAACTAAGCAAAGCTGATCACTTACCTCTGATGCTATAGCCTCTCTGGATAATAGTAGAAATTGTAATATATACAAAGCAAATTTAATTTGTTAGTTTGAGCAAGCAAGCCTAAGCTTACAGTTACATTATGATAAAAGGTCATTTAGTTCTTTCAGATAATAGATCTATTTTTTTTTAAGGTAAGCAATAATAATAAATTAGCCTGGTTATAAGACAAAGCTTCTCTTTGATTAAAAATTGCCTACTTAGAAACAATTATAAAAAACTTGTCTGTGCATATCAATCAAATGTTTAATCTATTGAAAGATCATTGTACTATGGTTTGTAAGTCTTTATTCATCAGTTTTTGACAGAAATTGAAAGCAAATATATATGCTAAAAGAAAGCTGATGCAAGATTGTTGCATATCTGTTCTAATACACATGGGGTAGCAGATGTATGTAGCACTTTCTGGGCCAAGAAATGTACAATAATCAGATCTTGTTACGTTTCTAAAACGCCATGCAAAGTAATGTGTAAAACATGTAATTTCTTGTAACAATTTCAACATTGCAGTTATTTTATTACTAATCTTAATGTTTCATATCTTCTGTTTCTGTATATCCTTACACTGCCTAGTTCAACAAAGAATGTTTATATTTGCCCTGGTGCTGCAGTCTTTTTGCTTCTAATCTACTGGGGTTTGCACATGTTCTTATCTGGTACTTTATGAGAAAACAATGAGGGCAGAAAAACAGAAAATGAGGAATGAAGTATGTTCTAGTTTAAAGAGCATATAGAAATGTTCATTGTGATGCATTGGAATGGATTTTCACTTCAGACGAATAAATCACATACGCTTGTTCTACTGAGTGCTGAATTTGGCACTGTATTCTAATTGTACATCAAAAAACTTCAGCTGAGATTTACCAAAGCATTATCATCAAAAAAGTATCTAGTTTAAAAATGCAATTTTTGGTGTAGAGCGCTTATACAACCTATCCAGACTGAGAGGTTGTACAAAGCTGTCAAAGTCCATTGGGTGAACAAAGGGTCTTTTGAATGTAGATAGCAAATATAAAATAAGCTACGGGGGTTTTTTTTGTTTGTTTGGGGAATTTTTGTTGTGATGCTGGTGTTTTCAGATTATTTTTAAATGGTGTTTTGGGTTTCAGCTTGGTTATTTTTTTTCCCTTAATCCTGTAATAAATGCTACAGGACAGCCACAGGTGTGGCTCTTAACTTTGCAATTAGTAGAAGAGTACCTTCTGGAAAAAAAAATTAAGTCCGTGGTTAGCATAACAAATGTAATGCTTAGTGATTGCAAGATTAAATACTTTCCTTTTTGTTAGTGTGTTAGTGTAAGCATGTACTTCCATCTTCATAAGTTTTGCTCCATCTGTTTATCTGGGTTAAGTGTCCAATTACAGCTTCAGATTACGAAGTCACATCCTTCTTGTTTTCTCTCTTCAGCCCACCGTTGTTTATGCTTTTAGGCCTGAAACTTGTAACGATTGTCCTTATCAAGCTGGAAAAGGAATTGTTTTGTCTACCTACCCTGTGTAGAGAGCTCACTAACACTTCACATGAAACTCAGAACTACACACCTAGGCAGCACAGAATCTGGAACATAAGAAAACTAAAACTTAAGGTATCCATGACTTCCAGTCAGTAGAGAAGTACATGCCTGCTAGTAATCCCAGGCTAGAACACCTTCCTAGATTTAGTCACTTATCTAAAGACAAAACTTCTTCAAACACTTAAGCAGTAGCAGATGTTTCTGTTTTCTGTGTCAGGTCTTCTGTTCCATGAAAATTACAGTGGGCCAGAGTCAATATCTGTGCCATTGAAGTGTGGGGAATACTCAGTGTTTGTGTCATGTGACTGTGGGAAAAGTTAAGGTTTTACTAAAATCCCTCCTGAGAAGTTTATGGTCTTACCTGCTTGAGCATGTAAATGCGGGCCTCAAAACTCAATTTTCTTACTGTAAGGTGGATATAAGAGTATATAAGCATAACTTTATTTACATACTCAAATGATATGTTACTTCAGTATTTACAGTCAGGGTGGAGAGATATGTAAAATTAGGTTAATGCTACTTATATAGCTTTTGTTAGGCTTAACCTGTTCCAGAGTATTAGATGATCTTCAGAATTAAACTTGGATGTAGAAAACAGGGCAGAAAGAATTTAAGTATGATTTAATAATGAATTTAATAATTTTAATAATGAAAATACATTACAGTTTTGCTCAAGGTGATAGAACTTATGTCCAGGCAAAACATAAGTATACTCAGGTACAGATATAAAATTTTAATTTGTAACAGCCAGCCCACCTTGATTAGATTATTTCTCATTTAAGAGAGGTTCTGTATTGTATACACTGATGAACTTAAGCAGTGTTCTACAAAGGAATCTAGCTGTAGTTTAAAATTTTGTTTGGGGTAGGATATGCATGCTCAAGATTTCCATTGCTTGGAAAAGATGCATGGCTTAAATCTTCAAATTCTAGTCATACCGGTAAAGTTGCTTCAAATCTGTCTGTATTAGTTTTTACATAGGAACATTGTTCTTGACAGTGAGAGAATGCCAGATGTTCTTTCACCTACAATTAATTGGTTTTACACTTTGAAGAAAGTTTAGACTTTCTTTTTCTATAATACGCATAAAATTCAAGATCAGTTTCTTTTCACCGCCCAAATGGAAAGTACTTCTCCAATAATTTACATTGGTAAATATGCTGTGGGAGCAACTGACTTCATTTGT